ATAAGCCCAATTCTGAGTTAAAACGAAGAAGGTATCATCAAAATACTAAATCGGGCCCTAAAACGGACACCCTTGCATTCAAACGGCCATATCTTTTGATCCATAATAGATTTTAACCTAATTCTAACAGCATTGGAAAGTAGACATTCAGATCTTTCCAATGATATCTTATTTTCCCTAATCCAACTTTGTAATCAAAGGTTATGGAAGATTTATAAATGCGTTTTCGTATAAGGCAAACCACGCCGCGCGCAAATTACACCTGTGCGCAAGTCTCAAAGTTGCGCTCGGCTCTCCAGCGCGACTTTAAGAGTTGCGCGCGCTACCTGACGGCACAACTATAAAACCTGAAACCTAGATTCCTACGTCTATAAATAGGGGTCTTCATTAGCCCTAATGACAATAGAAAAATAAAAAATCAAGCCCTAGAAAAACCCTAATCTCTCAAATCCTCTTAGTATCATACTAATTTTCTCCTCTCTTCCCAAATACTCTCCAACCCTAATTTATTCCATTGAATTCCTTGGAGGTACGAAGAAGAAGGAAGGTCCATAAACATCCAAAACAAAGATCAAGCAAAAAAAGAAGAATAGTTTGTTTCCTGAGCACTTAGATCAATCATCTTTTTCTTCTTGTTTTAAATAACTTTGATCAATTAATTAGTGCTATTTGATCACTTTAGAACAGTTTTTTTAATTAATTAATTCACGTAGTATTCTTTCGTAAAATAAAGACTAAAATTGGAATAATTAAATTGTTGTTTTATCACTTAAGTCAAGGCGAATGTAGAATTTTTGTGATTAATGTTTGTGAATAAAATCAACTAACTTTGTCTTTAGGAATCGCGTTTCATATAATATTTGGTAATGAAATTGTGAAAAAAGAAGAGCTAGTAGAGGCTGCACTAGGGCTAGGATTGCGATTATCAAAGAGAACGCTTTTCTATTACCCTCTCTCCCGAACTCATTTCTGGTTTAGTAGACCAATTTGGGCATGGATAAACTTATGATTTATTCTAAATATCCCTTGAACACTACTTGGGAGAAAGGTATGAATGAGGTTTATGAGTTTTCCTAAAACTCATTGGCGACTTTAATTTCTATTGGTTACTTATAAAAGAAAGTAATGACAGGCTCAATTCTAATTTAAGGTCTTCCAAAAAGTCAAGATTTCAAATCCTAACACACCCTAAAAGGTGTAAGGTCCTAGGCTTTTAAAGGGCAAAGGGCATAGAGAAAATGGGATCCCCAACGACGGGCTATCCTCCTCACACCTAGCCATTCACCAAGTCGGAAACCACGAAAGTGGAATTTAATAATAGTAATAATACTAAGAGCTCTTTGATCACTCATCTTCATGATCGTCATTGTCAATATTATGCCCAAGTAGTCAAGCGGCACTCTCTAACCTCTAACTTAGCTATATTTTCTAATGATGAGTTAACCTTCCGCCGTATGGGGATTTGGCTTTGTTGGGTTTGTTTTAAGATGCATTTTCTTCGTTCTAAATGTCGTCATGGTCAAGGTTCTGATTTTGTGGCCCCACCTAATGTTGGGGATGGTGTTGTTTGGCTTCTGATCTATGGTCTACTGAAACCACAACTCAATTTTGATGAACCCAGTCATCTGGATACTGCGGTACAAGATCAGGATTGTGGTTATACCATCACTCTCCTTGACAGGTTGCTTTCTAAACGTATTCGCACTATAAATCCATTATCCTTCCTAAATGTCATTTGGGTTTTTCTCGGGTTTTAAAAGGTGCGCTTGATAAGGTGATTTCCAGGCCGGAAGACATCTCTTGCTGGGTTAATCTTCTAGTGTCGCTTCTTTGTATCCTTCAAACCTTTACTTCGAGGAGTAATTGAGAGTGCACATCTGCCGTTAAACGGCAACGACAATAAGAGAGCATTGTAATGCTATTCGTACTTGGAGGAAGACGGCTGGTAATATGTTGCTTTTACGGGAAGCTTTGTAAGCTAGGTTCCCCCCTTTGATGGATGCTGACGAGGACCTTGATTTGGAAGAGCATAATATCAAGCAATGTCATAGGAAGATTTGTGATGGCCATTACACCGCCACAGTCCGGGTTCTTTCTTCTTCTGGCATTGTTGATCCTTTAGAATGAGGCCACTCTTGCGGATTTATAGTCAAAACACCCTTTTTCTCCATCTCCATCCTTGCCTGATTTACCTCTTGATAACCTTCATCTCGTTACTACTTCTGCCATTTTTTTGGACCGGAGTAAGAGTTTTCCACATGGCACATTATGTGGCAGGGACGGTTTACGAGCTCAACACCTTATGGATTGTTTGAGTGGTGTTGTTGTGGCTGTTTTAGATGAGTTAGTTGACTCTATTTCTGGGGTTGTTAATCTTCTTCTGGCTGGAAAATTTCCTATGGATTTGGGAGAGTATATTGCTAGTGCTCTTCTCACACCTCTGGTGAAGCCCGGTGGTGGTATTCATCCTATAGCTATGGGTACTATTTGGCGGCGTCTAGTTTCGAAGGTCAGTGCTGTTATGGTTGGCCAGTCATTGGGAAGTTATTTTGATGGTCTTCAATTTGGTGTTGGGGTTTCTTCAGGTGGTGAGGCTATTCTTCATGGTGTGAATCGGTTGATTGAGGATCGTAGTACTGATGTGCAGAGGGTCTTTCAATGTTGTTGATGGATTTTCAGAATGCCTTCAATTTAGTTGATCGTACGATCATGTTACGTGAAGTTTGTCTTTGTTGTCCGGGCATTTTGCGATGGGTTAAATTCTGTTACTCTAATCCAGCCAGATCGTATTATAGGGAGCACACCTTGTGGTCGTCTCAGGGGGTGCAACAAGGTTATCCCCTTGGTCCTCTACTTTTTGCTTTAGTTTTACGACCATTGGTGTGTAAAATCAGAGACGCTTTTGATGTGTGTCTTCAGGCGTGGTATTTGGATGGCGATACTATTATTAGTGACACTTTGGTGGTGGGGAAGGTTTTGCAGATGATCATGGAGGATGGGCCTCAGCTCGTTTTGGGTAACATCTCAACGTGGAAAAAACTGAAGTTTTCTGGCCAACAGATGACCCTCGAAGCAAGCTTGTGGGCGTCTTTCCCCCTAAAATTGCTCGACCCTTGTAGGGTGTTAAGTTGCTTGGGTGGTCCCGCTAGTTCCTATTTCAGTTTTAGTGGTAAGCATGTGATGCAAAGGGTGACCAAGACTACAGCTTTATGGATAAGGTTTCTAAGCTTGATGATCCTCAATGTAAGTTGTTGTTACTTAGGGCATGTGCCGGAGTTTCTAAACTCTACTATGCTTTGCGTACTTGTCGTCCTAGTACTTTTAAGGCGGCTTAGCGCATATTCGATGGGGCTCTTCGATCTTCCTTGGAGCATATTTTTACTGCTTCGGGGCCTGGGTTTGGCGATTGGCAGTGGCGACTTGCCACCTTACCTTTTGCGTTTGGAAGGCTTGGGGTTCATTTTGCATGTGATGTTCATCATTATGCTTTTCTTGCTTCTCGATTATAGTCTGTTGGGTTGTAGACAAAGCTTCTGCGGAATGCGGCCATTGTTGGTCTTGGTCGAGCCTTTGAAGATTCGTTGAGTCTATTTTATAGAACTATGGAGTCTGACATTTTTAGCAATCCTAGTGAGGTTGCTGCCCCTAAACTTATGAAGAAATTGGTAGGTGTATATTTCACAAAGGTTACCGCATCTGTAGAATCCACCTTTTCTTTATCTCCTCGACAATCGACACTGTAAAAATCGCACCAGGGAGCTCACACCTCTGCTTGGCTTCGTGCGGTCCCCATATTGGGTTTGGGACAGACGATGAATACTAAGACTTACCACTGTGTGTTGTGCTACCGGTTGGGTATTCCTTTGTGCTCTATTTCGACACCATATTCTGCTTGCTCTAGGGTTTTTGCGGGGGATATCTTTGATGATCTTGCGATAATGTGTGCTGGTACTATGGGTATTAAACATCAACATAATGTTGTTCGGGATACCTTTGTTGATGTTTATTATCGGTCTGGGATTTTGGGAAGGAAAGATGTTGATATTGGCCTCTCTAGAGGGGATGACAGAGCACTCCGACCTGAACAATTGTTACTCTATTCTTGGGATCGGGGACGTGATGTGTGTGTTGACTTGACATGATCTTCTCCTTTGACACAATTTGGGTTGGCTAGCTTTGTTCTGGGACGGGTAGTGACTGATGCGGCTAATCGAAAGCAAGTCAAGTATGAAGCAAGTTGTCGGGCAATTGGTTGTGGCTTTCTTCTTTTCTTTTTTTCTTCTCTGGGGGAACTGGATAAGGATGTTGTTGCATTGTTGAAACGGGTTCAGAAGATCTCAAAAACTCAGGACATTGGGCCTCGCGCTGCTGCTTATATCTTCACCAAGGTGGGGTTTGCTATATATAGAGGAGTGCGGACCCAGATTGTATCTCGGCTTCCCACTAATTTTTTGCAATTTGATTGACTTTGTTAGCATTTGATAATGTGTTAAATAATAATAATAATAATAATAATAGTAATAATAATAATAATAATAATAATAATAATAATAATAACTCGGAATACTTTATCCATTATGCTTGATATACATTCATTTCTTGGTGTGTCCTATAAAGCCTACCCAATCATTACGGCTATTAGAGCAAGCTATTACCACTTGCACTTAACAACTACACAGGTTCGCATAGGCTTCCCCAATTACATTGAAAAATTGAGGGCGGTGATAGGAATGTACGGAGTATAAAGTAGAAAGATTTTTTTTCTTGTAAAAAAAAAAAAAAAAAAAAAAAAAAAAAAAGTGGAAAGACTTTTCAATCTAGTACAATTGGTTTATGATGCTAGAACCTTCCATGCATGACATGCTTTTGCTAGTATTTACAATTAAAAAATTTATATTTAATATTATATGTGTACTAAATAAGGCCCAATAAAAAGATACATAAAAAAAAAATTTAAAAAAAGAAAAAAAGAAAAAAAGAAAGAAAGCAAAGCAAAGATATATCAAAGAAAAAATTATTACAAGAACAACGTTTTATTTAGTATAAGAAATAAAACTGACTTAGGCACATTCTCACATATAACATTATTTATAAGGCATTTTTCCTATATCCCTCAAGACACCAACACTTGAAACTCAAAAGTACATCAACACTTGAAACTCAAAAGTACATTGTAAAAATTGAAAAAGGACACTCACTACTTACACGCTTACAAAAGAATATATGGGACAAAGAAAAATTACATGGGAATTGGATGAACGAGGACCAATGCAACTTTGTCCTTAAGAGTTTGGTTAACATGTGTGTAGCCATCAGCATCACCCTTGTATAGAACATCAGCAGAACGAGCTAAATTGAGAATTCGAGTAAGTAGAGGCTTTGGAATCACAAAAGGTTGAAGCATTGCTTGATTAATATCTTTCCAAGCATCCTCAACTTCCTCTTTTAGCTTATTATTTGCTTCCTCCTCTGACAATCCATGCTTCTCCATTAAGCATCGCACAGCTGATGCAACATGATTCCTCTTTTGCTCAAACTGCTCCGAAGCCCCAATTCCAAAACCAACACAAGTTAAGATTGCAAATCATCACTATAGATTTTATATAGTACTTCATTGTCTAAAAATGTACTATAGTTTAAATCAAATTATTTTTCGATAAATGGTATGTACCTTGTGACCACCTATGTCATTCATGAGTCTTATTATTGTAGATGCAGCTGTTATAACTTTAGGCATAGGATTTTGACATGCCCATTCAAATACATCCTTTGATGCAATCTCTCCCATGCCAAGGAAACAAGCTACTATTCCATGAGGGTAAGGAGAAGTCACAAGGGCAGTCTTCTTCATATACTCTTCATATGTAGGAACATATTTTTGATGGCACCATTTTGCCTCTTGAATATAGGCTTTGCATAAAGCTTTCACCTATATCATTTACCATTTTACACTTTCAAATACTATGAATATCTTTATTATATATACAAGAAAAATTATACTAGTAATAAATATTGTTAAAAATATACATAGAGATCAACTCAATAAAACCAAATGTTACGGAAATTGATAACTAAAGTTTAGTAAAAGCGTTATGCAAACTATCACCCAATAAAAAAAAAAATTTAATTAAATAAAAATGCCAACTTTAGAAGATTTAAGTAGATCTTTGGAGAATTATTGCATGGCTGACCTGATCTCTTGTATAATTGACGAAAGATGGTCTTCCTTCTTTGGCAAGATCTTCCTCAGCTTCCTCAAAAGCTTCAACCATAGCATAATATGACCGCTTTACGTGCTCCGGGAGTTCATCCATACAACTTTTGCTCCATGGTCTGGATTATAATTTACTTAAACCTCTTAAAATACGGACAATGTTGCAATGGCCACAATAATATTGTAGCCATTGTAATTTTTCAATCTGAACTTTTAAAATTAGTAAATCTTGACCATTCATAGATTTGACTAAATAATTATTATAATTATAATGATATATTTGTAGGACAGTTGTCAAATGACCATCGTATTAGATTAAATCACAGTCGTCTATCTATAATGATATATTTATAGGATAGTTGTCAAATAAACTGTCGACAAAGGTAATTTTGGATTTTTATTTTAGAAAACGTTGAAAAAAAAGCCCTTAAAAATCAATCACGTTCTAAACTTCTAACCCACTACCAATTCAGTTTTCAATAATTCACAAAGTATTTTATTTTATTTTTTTCTTTCCCTGCTATCGATTTGCTGCTTCAATCTAATTCTAATGGACCTGCCATGATTTTCTTGTGATTAGTGCAAATTTGTAATTGTCAGTGTTTGTGAGGCAAAAAAAGGATTACTAGTATTTAAGATTGTCTAATGGACCTCTAAACACGGAGGCAATGGGATATTGAACTTTAATGGTGAAGCATGTAATGGAGATGATGGAAAAACTGATAGTTTCAATAGAATGTTCATGGGTATGCTAATATACACATTATAATTGTTCTCAACCCTTCTTTCTTTACTCACATTACAAATAGGATGAGAATTAGATTGAAGCAACACACACAATTAAGAATTGAAGAATGAATTGATAGCAAATCGATAGCAAGGAAAAGGAAAAAAAAAACCTACTTTGTGAATTATTGAAAACTGAATTGGCAGTGGGTTAGAAGTTTAGAACATGATTGATTTTTAAGGGTTTTTTTTTTTTTTTTTAAATTTTTTTTTCAACGTTTTCTAAAATAAAATCTATAGTCAACTTTATCGACAGTTCATATTAGTCAAAATAGATAGATGGCTGTGATTTAATCTAATACAATGATCACAATTTTATTGTGGCCATTCATACAATAAATAAAAATTAATTTTATTAGAAATAAAATTATTGATAATAATTGATCGATTACTTCTAAAAGAAAGCCTTAAAGTTTATTTTCAAACCCCTGATTCATTCGATTCTGAAATTCGACTTTCGTAGTATCTACTTTGTATAATATTAGTGTTGGGTGATATTTATTTTTGTGGGAAAGATGTTACGGATTAGTTGATAACATATATAATATTTCGATTCTTGATGATAATACAAATTTAACAATGGTAATTTGGTGCTGTAATATTAATGGAGATTGATAGATTTGCTTGGTAGAGAAATCGAAATTGCTTGTATTTGGCGACAAAAACACCGTTTTTTTTTTATTTAAACAAGCAATTATTTTTAAAATGAAACTTTTTTTTTTTTCATAGTCAAACAAATAAATAAACAAGATTTATCCTTAAAATTTTAATGGTTGAGATTGAAAACAATTACAATGACTAGATATTTATTGTAGCCATTAAGTAGTCTTCCTACATTCCAACTAATTCAAATCCCTAATCATAAATATCAGCCTACCATTCAAAGACATAATATAAAATAAAATTAAATGTCCACGTTGAAAATAAAGATGGTCAAATAAAGTTCGTATTAGTAAGTTGTTAATCTTTGAAACTTATTAATTAACTAGGAAAGCTAACGTGCACGATACGCACGCTATTGCTCATGTTCGGGAAATTACATAAACAAGTATTTTTAGGGGTAGGATTACTGAGGGAAATTATATAAACAAATATTTTTAGGAATATAAATGTAAGCATACTATTTTTAAGAGTTTAAAAAATAGGCAATTAACATTAATGAGGGCAAATAAGTAAATAAACATTTTAGAGGGTACAATCGTCAAACACTATTTATAAGAATTAACTCAAACTTTTTAAAAGGTAGGAATATCATGGTGAGACAGACTGAGACAACGCTATGGAGTTTGAAATTTCAAACCTTTGAAATGCTTCAGTGAGAAGCTCGAGTTCTTCAATTGTTCCATATGCATCATATGTATCGTCTAATAATGAAGTTGACTTGATAATTTTTCGACCAACTTTTCGAGCAAATGAAAATTGGGGTTCATAGTAGACTCCTAAAATCCAGAAAAACACCTCTGTCAACCTATCTCTGCTGAATGATGCATTCAAATGCAATCCTTTCCACCACCTGCGTAAGTTTAACATGATCAAGAGATTTAGTTAGCATACACTCGACAGTACCCATGGTTGAAATTAAGGCCTTGTTTGGCTGGATCTAGGAAGTAGAAATTCACATGAAATCTCAATTCCTAGGAATTTCTAAAAATTGTTTGGTTGAATGTAGGAATTTCCACTTCCTATGGGAAGTTCTACCTACCTAGGTGGAACTAGATAAGTTAATTCCTCCATTTTGTGGGAAGTAGAACTTCCTAGGAAGTCCCAATTCCTACATTATTGTCAACCAAACAAACATGCATAAATTCATTTCCTTGGAAATCAAAATTTCCATGAATTTGTTTGTCAACCAAACAAGTAAGGCCTAAATTTTACCTCTGTTACTTTTTACTGTTGAATGATGCATTCAAATGAATTTTTTATATGTCATATAAAATATCCCTTTGCTGCAAATAAAAAGAAACAGAGGTCGATTTCTAAATACTTTTATAATAAAAAATGATTACCTTTTAAAATCTTTGAGCTCCTTCTGGTGCAAGGCTTGAAGAAGATTGAAATCAAGTTTTGCAAACTTAAGGAGAGTTTTGTTATGTGAAGGATCCATTTCATACAAGGAGATGAAATGCGTAGTCTCTACTCGCGCCATCCCCTTGTGGAAGGGTTGGTGAAGGGCATGGGAAACTTGATCAGCAACAGGTGAGCTTAATTTGTTAACCATGGCATTGAGATGATTTTTCGTGAATGCAAGGGCTTCTTCGAGGATTTTGTCATCGTGAACTCGAACATGGGAAGCCTCATACAAGCCTAACAATCCTGGAACGTCATTTGTTATTGACTCCTTGAAGCTTCCATTTTCATCCTTGAACTTGTTAAACACATCTGTACCATATATCATGACATGTTTACAATAATTACTAATTATATACTAAGTGATGTAACTACTTATTTTCTAAGTAATTAAGGCATAGTTATTATGTGAAAGCATCACGGCACCTAGTAAAATGCTTACCACAAGGCACAAAGAAACCATGTTGCCTGAGGATACGAAATCGAGTCGAAACATGGTAGAGATCATCTTTGGCACACTGCTCTTCATAGTTCTCGTAAACTTGTTTCAATGCCTCCTCAATCTCTTGTTCAAAGTGATATGCCAATCCAAGACGTTCGATGGCGTCGATGAAATTCAGCAGCTCAAGAGGGTTGCCCTTAGTTTCCAGCAGCTCCTTCTTCACTTCATCTTTAAGTTGGCTCACTTCTAGCTCCTTTTTAACTTTGACTACCTTAAAATTAACAAAAAACGCACATATAAAATTTATCGAGCATGTTTATTTAATTACTACCTATGTTTCTTGTTATTTGCAACTAAGGTTTGTTTTATGTGAAACATAAAAAATTTTCATTTATTGTAAATCGCAAATAAAGAGAAACAGAGGTAGTAATAAATTTAATTTTGGAAAATGATATTATTTTTCGTCTTAAATTTTACCTCGTCATGGTGAGGATTTGTGATATTAAGAAAGTGATCACCCCAATGGCATGGATGAAAGTTAGCTATCGGACGAGATATTTGAGCAAACATTTTTTTTTATTTTATTTTTTTATCCCAAAGTTGAGTTTTCACAAACAACTTCTGAATATAATGTTACTTCTTGGACAAAAATAATTGAACATTTAACTTATTATATAGCTCAAGAGCATCGAATCAATAAATGACTTCTCCATTAATCTGTTATCAATTAATTGGTTGCATCATTATTATTGTACCCATTCCTTGTCACATATAGGACAACCCCAAAACTACAAATTTATTTTGATTTTGACATTCCAAAGATAAATTGGTGAAGTACGTATATATTGTTGTCAAAATATCCATATAATACAATCTAGATATGTGATCATGAGAACCATTTCTTTTATATTCAATATCTTTAGTTAATGGTTGAAATTTCGGATTAATTTATATATTCTATCATCCAATACATTTTATGAATTTACATACAACTTTAAACACTACCTTTAAATAAATAAGTGTATTTAATAGTTTCGTGGGTGAATGAGGATCCAGTGTGTGATCGCATAAAAACTTAGCTTATCAGGGCAACATCGTCCCATCTCTCAAGACTCAAGTACCGCATGGAGTAGACCAAAATATGGTTCTTATATCTTCATCAATGAACATTATGGAAAAACTTGAAAAATACTAAGAGCATGTTTGGTACAAGTTTTTTAATATGAAAACGGATTTAATTAAACCAGTACCGTTACCAAGTATTTGGTTTAAAGGTTTGGGTAGCATTTACCATTACCTAGGGTAATGATTGTTTTCATGACCTATTTGTTACTTACCTCTCTAACCCTTACCCTTCTCAAACAAAATATAAAGGGAATTAGAATACTAAATACATGAAAAGCTAAAAGTTAAATGATTCCGATCCTTTCCTCCCTTGTTATTAAAATCGCGATCCGGATCGTATCCTACGATATGATCCTGATCCACCCAAGCGATTTGAATTGCATTCAAAATTGTTGTGTGGTATAATCGCTTATAGAATCGGTGGAATTGGTTCGATTCTACGATTTTACATACATCGATTCCAAGGATTCTACCCATGCAAAAACTATGATATACCAAAGCCTATAACTTTTGATTGCGAAGATAAATTGGGCGCTTATAATATATATATTGGAGAGCTCTTGAAATCTACTTTCTAATCCAATTGGTCTCTCATCCATATCATTTATATATAGTATGATATGGCCTAAAGAGTGCAGAGATGTCATATTTGAGCCTAATTTTATTCAATCATTTATCTATTTTCAACATAAAATGAAAATAAGCTTATGAAATATCATTTTAAAACTCTTTTAAAATGCTATCCAACCATTTGAATTTCATAGATAAAATGATAGATTCATGAGTCTTACGAGTTTAACATTGACCATTGGTGTATAAAAACACTTTTATGACATAAGTTTGTTGTAGTGGTTGTCATTCATTAGTTATCTCTTTGACCTAAACTAATTTGACACTTAGTATTTCATTATCATTAGATTTTGTACTAGGAAAAATAATTTTATGTGTCAAAAACATTACTTAATTCATTATTTAACATTAATTATCTCGTACTCTTGTGATTGACCGATTCGGTTAAAATGTGTATCAATATTGTATGACTTTATAGTGTACAATTTTTCTGTTTGAACTAAGGGAATTTGTAAATACTAATAAAAACTATTCTAAGTTTGCATTGTTGATATTATGTTAGCAAAGCTATAATTGCATCATTCTTATTGCTTGAAAATTATGTTTTTAATTATTTAGTATCATTTTGAAATTCAATTTTAAAATTTGTAGAATCGTAAGATTCTACGATTCGATTCTACCCCAATCACCGATTCAAGATAGAATTTCGGTTCTGATAACTATGCTTTCCACCCTTTTATTTGTTTGCTTTCCACTCCATTTCAAATATATTTATACCAAATGCACTCTAAGTATATGCTATTGGTTAGCCTATTCATATTTCGTAAAAACTTTATATATTACAAATAAGAGTATTTTGAATTTATGAGATACTATATTTTACATTTTGGAGTATTTTTTGAGATTAGTTTTTACAATAGTAATCAGTTGTTTCAGGGTTTTCTGTGTCCCTCGGGAGAGTTACGTCACTAAGTCTAAACTCCGGGCGCCTGTACCTGCAAAACAACAGAGACTCCGGGTGATGGAAGCTCCGCCTCTGACGATCAAGTTAGAAACGGTCGAAGAATGTAAAAAGATGCGGAAAGTAAATTGAGATCTTCTCGGATTCCGAAATCAAGTGTTTTTCTCTGTTTTCGAGAGAATTGATTTTAAAATTATATAATGTCCTTCTTTCAAAGTGAGGTAAATCTCCCTATTTATAGGTTCATTGGAATTTGTTCCCCCGTCCTAGGTTACGGAAACCTAGGACTAATAGGCTACGCCGCTTCTTGGCAGTCTAGAGAATTAGGCCTTGAAGGCCGTCTTTTTCCCTTGCTGATTTGGGGTGCCACATGTCAACTTGTGAGTGACCTTTATTGGACCTGTCCTGGGGTGACACGTGTCCCATTCTAAATGGGCCACGTGACAAGGATATTTTTACCCAAATCATTTGCCCCTTACAGGGGTGACGTGGCGTGCCGCGTGGCGCCAATGACACTTGTCACTTAGGCATTGGTGAACAGTTTTAATTGTTCACCTTCTGGGGGAAATTTACATGGTTGCCCCTGAATTTACTGCTCTATAAATAGGGTTTTACCCCTCCCTCATTTTTGACATTTGTAAAAAAAGTCTAGAGAAAGAAAGGCAAATGCTCTAGAGAGAGAAAATCTGACAACCGCTTGTCATAGCCTGTCAACCGTCTGTGTATCTCACAAACAACTGCTTGATTTCTGCCCGCCTGATACAACCGGTCAGCGCTTGAGACTTCTTTGTTCCAGCAAACAACAAGGTAATCGTCTCTCCTTTTCCCAGCTCTTTCAATCTTTTTACCGTGTGTATATATTTCATTGAATAATGGATTCACCTACAACATACACGGCATAGTCTAGGACAGTAGTCATCCGGTCTCCTAGTACAGCTGAGTCTAGGACTGGGGGTGTCGTCTATAGGTGTTTAGACCACCCTTGCTCTTCCCCGAATCTGACTGTCTCTGTGCATGTGAACGACACTTGACCCAGATTATATGTCAGACGGCTCAGCTGAGGCGCTGGCTGATAGAGAATATGACTATCCTCCGGGTGTACCCAGCACTCCGAGTGACGACATTTTAGAAGATTCTGATCAAGGAGACGGCGAAAAGGCCGTCCAACGATCTGACTCAAAGGCGTCGAGCTCACTACAGGCGGATGCCGACAGTGAGGAGGGTGAGGCGTCCTAGTGGCCGTCTATGAACAACCCAATAGAGGCACATATGTCCGAAAGGGATAGAATCACCCTGGAAGCAAGCTTTCCTGCCTTTGTAGATAAATTCCCAATGGGGGATAGGTGAGAAATAATTGTGCCGCCTGTTGAGGCGACAGTCGTCTGGGAGGACGATATTGAACATGCCGACAATTATTTCGGGTGTTATGAGGCAGCTTTCAAAGCCGGCCTCCGCTTCCCCCTTTATGACGCAATCAAAGCCATCTTAAGGGGCTATGAAATTGGCGTATGGCAACTCACACCTAATTCCTGGGTGAACATCCTTTGCTATATCGCCGCCTGCGAGATGTAGAATTTAATGCCCAGCTGGGAGGCATTTGCACACATGCACTACTTAAGCCGTGCCCCAGGCGGCTAGAGGGCGTGGTACACTTTAACCACGCATCCGGAGTACATGATGACGCTTGATAAACCATCTAAATGGAGAAACTGGAAAAGCAAGTTCTACTTGGTTTCCTCCCCATCTAGACGTAAAAACCATCTCCTCCGCCGGTATAATAAGAAACCGGCTCTCTTGGGATAAAGTGCGCCCTTCCGCATATCCCTGAGGAGGCTTGGTCACAGATAATAGAGCCGGAGTTCTTCAAGACAACCACCATGCCTCTAGAAGACGACACTGAATAATTATACCCAAGAATTGGGTACCCCAGCCGGATTGGCTCAAAGATGAGGTTTTCCTCTCCGCCTGTGGTCTTGGTACCATGTTTGAGAGACGTACGTTGACCATCTAACCGGCACTTTGATGTTGCCTTTAGGGTTTTGTGATTTGTTTTGTATTTAACCAACCGGTTCCCTTTTATAGAAAAAGCGCATTCCAAGTCTGACATCGTCTATATCTCCTCCTACTTCTAATAAAAGTTCTGTAATAAGAAGGTTCATGAACCTGCAAAAAATTATTGAAGTAATTGCTACAGTTTTGTTAGTAGGAGTCTAATCTCTAGGAAATGAAGGAAATCATAGTGGCATTTATTTTAGATCTTTCCCGTTATTATTTTATGGTTTATTAAAATCATTATACTATTCACAATTTTGAAAATTTTAAAATCCATATACGGAGTATATACTAGTGTGTGTCTGTGTTACACGAGGCATTTATAATAATGTGAAAATTATTATACATTCGGCCACTTGGATGCAAGGTGTGTCTTAAGATATTCTTTGCTCATTTAATCATCAATATAAACAAAAAATATCCAAGAATACTATTTTTAATGTTTAATGTTTACTGTAAAGTTAAGTATTGTTAAAAAAAAAAAAAAAAAATTGAAGTTAAGTATTGTTAAAAGTTTTTTCATTTTTTTGGGCAAATGGACAATATTATTGTTTTAGTGCTAAAAACTAACAATCTATAAAGCAATATTGACCTTTTGGGCATAAAATAGATATTATAGGTTAAAATGTACTTGCATTTATTTATTTATTTATTCATTTTTTTTTAAGAAAATCACTATTATTCCTCAAACTCGTGTATTAATTTAACTTCGATGACACGTATTTTTAAATAATTAACTTTTTAATTATTATAATCATATTATTCAATACTCTGTAAAATTAAAATGGGATCCATAAATTTACGAGGAATCAAACAAGCTTAATAAATTGTTATCCAATCACTAAAATTGTTATCCCATTTAATTATATTTTTTAATTCCAAACATATTCGCTCCAATAAAAACTTGTTTGATTGACAAAAAAAAAAAAAAAAAAAAAAAAAAACATGAAAAGTGAGACTTCTTACTTCTTAGAAATTACAACTTTTTGTTTTTTTTTTTTTTTTTTGAAATTAGAAATTACAAGTTAGATTTGTGGTTTGGTTGACAAGAGTTTGGTGAAATAGGAAAATGGAACTTCCCACAAAACATTGGAATTTATTTACTTAATCACCCTTAAGTAAGTAGCAAATCCCATGAAAAGTTAGTTTCATCATTGTTAACCAAATAATTTTAGGAAATTTTCATTATTTTGATTATTCCCATAAAGTTGGTATTCACGGGAAAATTTAATTCTCATGTGAACCAAACTACACCTAATTCTTTTCATATATTAAATGCTTATTATATCATCACCCTACAAAAATTGAATTATTATCAAATCACTTAATGCAATGTTTCCATCACTAGAATAGAAAGTAATTAAACCAATTTAAATGATTGCTTGATGTATTCCATGACAGAGTCCCAATTTAATTTCTAAAAAAACATATTGTGTTTATCAAGTGGCATTATATTGATTTATGGTAATTGTGAATCTTGATTAGAAAATCTTTTCTACTGTACACTGCAGGTCCACCTGCAAAATGATGTAAAAGATCATTAAATGACAACATTAAAAACTGAAAAATATCATAAACAAAAAGCTAAGGATTCCTTCAACATTATTGTGATTTTCAGTTTTTATATTTTTTATTTTATTTTAAAAGTCGTATGATATATTCATAAAAAGAATTAAATTAGTCAAATCTATTAGAATCATCACTATGTTAAAATTTTGACAACAAAAAGTCCAAATCACTCTCTGTAATATCCTTCTTTTTTTGGTTTTTTTGTTTTTAGTTTTAATAATGGATATTGCTAAACTAACAAGCGCCACAAGGCATTAGATAACTAATTAATCTATTACCTAAACTAGTATAAAGTTTGGGATGCATGTCAAAATCACACGACGATCAGTGTAATTAAATATTTGTTTTACTTTGATAGTTCCACTATTATTTAGTTCTCTTATTTAACGTCCTGTGACGCTTTTTAGCTTTTGCCTTAAAAGAAACTATCTTAGAAATGAAAATTTGTCAAAATTTAAGCTTCAAATGCATACAAAATGGTGGAAAAAAGACTTGTGACGATTTGATGGCAGTGAGATCGGCACCATCAAATCCATTGGTAAATTCTTTAGCTATAGATGAATTAGAAAGTCCATATACCCCTTTTCCTCCAATCAATCACATTTTCTCTCTTTATTGATCACCGAGTCAGACATGAAATTTTCAATCAATATATAGATATTTGAGAAATTCCAAGTATCTCAATTTCATAAATCGAGTTCACACATCGAACATGATTACTTGAACTAGAAAACTCTAGCCATTTAAGAATTCGGCAATCAAAAAATAGGGCAGAAATCACGAAAGTAGGGAATAAAAATCCTCCATAAATATAACTAGGCGCTAAACGACCAAGTTAACAGCGCTATAGTGAGGTACACGTTCTTTGCTAGAATGACATAGAAAAATTACTATTATACCCACTACATTTATGTTGATTTACCATTATACCCCTGATATGCTTTTCATGTTTATCAAGAAGATAAACTTGGAATTTCTCATGTTCCACCGATTAGTCCTCTTTTATAAGAATTATAACAAGTTCAATTTAGATTCGAATTAGTTAGCCACTCTGGTGGGAGCTAGAGAGAAGAGAATGAGAGAAATTAAAATTTCCTCTTGTTGCAGCTCGCATACATTATCTTGTATGTAGAGATCAAATTATTTCTTGTTGTACTTATTATGTTATTAATGGGATCATATTTAGCTTACTTGGTCTTTTAAGTTAAAGCTAAAAGTTAGAGAATATCACACATTAAAGATATAATTAATGTCATGTCTAATTTACATATATCATTATATGGACGAGAACTTGTATATTTGATAATAGAAAGTTGTATGTAGATTATTCATTAATAGAAATTTTGTTTCTACACTATTATTATTCCACACCGCAATTAAGAATAAGAGGCAAGTATAATGACCATATAAATTTGGTATGTGCAATTTTACCTATTAAATATTTATCTATTATATATAAGTGCATTAACTTAATTAAGCACAATAAACATTTGTCCAAAAAAAAAAAAAAAAAAAGAAAAGGAAGCAAAGGTTAAGGGGTAATCGAAAAATCTATTAAAAAAACAAGGTTTTTATTTATTATGAGGAAGCAAACAAACTTATTAGGCACATACATTCTTACAATATATAACATTATTTATGTCTATCAAGACACCAACACTTAAAGATTCAGATAGTAAAAACAAAGGATGGACACAATACAAACCACATACATACGTGCTTATAAGAGAGAATAATTTAGGGAAACATCACTCATATAGAAATATTATTACATGGGAATAGGATGAGAAAGAACAGATGCAACTTTGTCCTTAAGAGTTTGGTTAACATGTGTGTAACCATCAGCATCGCCCTTGTATATAACATCAGCAGCGCGAGCTAAGTTGAGAATCCGCGTAAGTAAAGGTTTTGGAATCACATAAGGTAGAAGCATTGCTTGATTAATATCTTTCCAAGCATGCTCAACTTCTTCTTTTAGCTTCTCATTTGCTTCCTCCTCAGAATACGCATGTTTCTCCATCAAGCATTGCACAGCTGATGCGACATGCTTCCTGTTTTGCTCAAACTGCTCTCAAATTCAAAATTGCACAATTGTTAAGATTTCACTAATAATCACTATGGTTTAATTTATACTATAAAAGTGTACTAAAAGTTTGAATCAAAGATTGTCGACATATGGTACCTTGTGGCCACCTATGTCATTCATGAGTCTTATTATTGTAGATGCAGCCTTTATGATATTAGGCATAGGAGTTTGACATGCCCATTCAAATACCTCCTTCGAAGCAATTTCTCCCATGCCAAGAAATGAGGCAACTATTCCATGAGGGTAAGGAGAGGTCACCAAGGCAATCTTCATATACTCATCATATGTAGGGACATATTTTTGGTGGCACCATCTTGCTTCTTGAATATAGGCTTTGCATAAGGCTTTCAACTAGACATACAATCATAAAAGGGGGATTAAAAAAAGATTATAACCACAATTTTGCAACTTATTAGAGATCTCGCTTTTATAAAGTTGATGGCATTTATTTATTTAAATAGATTTAAAAACATACTATTTATGCCTCAAATTTCAAAAAACATGCATGACAAACATTTAAAGATATATTTCCTCCGTTCTAATTTAGATGACGTGTTTTGACTTTTGACACTATTTATTAATTTTATTTTGAATAACATTTGTGATTTATAGGTATAAAAAACATATTCATGTGGGATCTTGTCAGATTCATTTCAATGTGTACTTAATTAAAATTAAATTTTTAGTATTTTATACAATAATATAGTTAAAGATGTATTCGATTGAACTTTTACATTGACAAATATGATAAAAGAAACGTGTCATCTAATTTAGAACGTAGGAAGTACTTCGTAATACATAAAAAGATGGGCATTCTAGTTTTTTGAGTGGTAATTAAACTGAACAAAAGTTGGCTATCAACAAATAAAAAGCTTTTAAGATTTAGATAATTCGATTTTTAGTGAATATAAGGCGAACCTGTTGTCTTGTATAGTTGACGAAAGATGATCTTCCTTCTTTGGCAAGATCTTTTTCAGCTTCTTCACAAGCTTCAACATTGGCATAATAACTCCACTTCACATGCTCCGGAAGTTCATCCATACAACTTTTGTCCCATGCCCTGAAATAAAATTTACTTCATCCTCTTAATAGTCTTCTAATTTAATATATAGCTATATACAGATATACTTCATCTCATTAATTAAAAAAAAAAGCCTTTGAAAGGGTTGACATACTTTATAGGGAGAAATATATCACATGTTTTATTTATAAATATTATCATTTTTGTCATAAATTGACTAACCACGAACGTTGTTTATTAGGGCTTTTGTTTTATTACTTTTCCCGTTTCTTTTTAGTTACATTACTTTCTCAAAATGGAAGTTTCAAATTAATTAGTTAATTGCATCACTTTCCTTTTTAGTTAATTAAATCTCTCTATCTTTCTCCCATCACACGGGTCCAATATTTTTATTTTCTCTCATCTTCAATGATTGCCTAGAGTCCACAATTTGCAAAGTGATGCAACTAAAAAAACGAAGGAAGTATATAGATTAAAGTCAGAAACCTTAGCATGCTTGTATCATTTACTTTATTAAATGGTTCTACATAAATTTATCTCCTTCATACCAATGAAATCTATGTTTATTTAGAATTCTTACATAATCTATCTATGACTTTTTATCAACTTGAGGCAGACAAAGATAAAACTATACACAAATATTAAATTCAAACCTTTGAAATGTTTCAGTGAGAAGTTCAAGTTCTTCAATAGTTCCATATGCATCATACGTATCGTCTAATAATGATGTTGACTTGAAAATTTTTCGATACACTTTCCGAGCAAATGAAAATTGGGGTTCATAGTACACTCCTAAAATCCAAAAATACGCCTCCGTCAATCGGTCTCTACTGAATGATGCATTCAAATGTAGTCCTTTCCACCACCTGTGTTAGTCGTCAAACATCAAACGATTTACGTAGCTTAGCTTACATGTACATACGTTAGAAGCTAGAAATAAAATACTTTTGTAATAACTAAGAATTGAATACCTTTTTAGATCTTTGAGTTCCTTCTGGTGTAAGGCTTGAAGCAAATTGAAATCAAGTTTTGCAAACTTGAGGAGAGTTTTGTTATGTGAAGGATCCATTTCATACACCGAGATGAAATGCCTAGTCTCTACTCGCGGCATCCCCTTGTGGAGAGGTTGATGAAGGGCATGGGAAACTTGATCCGCAAGAGGTGAGCTTAATTGGTTAACCATGGCATTGAGACGAGTTGTCGAAAATGCAAGGGCTTCGTCGAGTATCTTGTCATCGTGAACTCGAACATGGGAAGCCTCATACAAGCTTAACAATCCTGGAACGTCCTTGGTTATCGACTCCTTGAAGCTTCCATTTTCATCTTTGAACTTGTTAAACACGTCTGTATCATCGTGGCATAATTATAATATAGTTACTCACTATTTTTAAACATAAAACTAACTTTCAAAATAATAATATATACTCAAAAAATCACTTTCATAACTTAAATATCACTTTCTATAACACAAACATGATGACTTTCTATAACATAAACATCCATATTACTTTTAAAATTGTTTGTTAACGATAATAAATTTATATGTAATTTCCTAGGCATAGTTACATCGTGTAAACATCAAGGCTCCTAGTAAAATGCTTACCACAAGGCACAAAGAAGCCATGTTGCCTGAGGATACGAAATCGAGTCGAAATATGGTAAAGATCATCTTTGGCACACTGCTCTTCATAGCTCTCGTAAATTTGCTTCAAAGCATCCTCAACCTCTTGTTCAAAGTGATATGCCAATCCAAGACGTTCGATCACGTCGATGAAATTCAGCAGCTCAAGAGGGTTGCTCTTAGTTTCCAGCAGCTCCTTCTTCACTTCATCTTTAAGTTGACTCACTTCTTGCTCCTTTTGAACTTGGACTGCCTAAATCATCCGTTTTATACAAGGAGCCAAAAAATAAATTAGTACGTAACAATTAAGAAAACAAAATATGTAGGCATAAGAAATTTCTCGAATATGTTTATTTATTTGTAAAGTTTTTAGAGGTGGTACTCAAGACTACTTTAAATTGTTCATCGTCTACAAAAATTAATATTACCTCGTCATGATGAGGGTTTGTGATATTAAGAAAGTGATCACCCCAATGACATGGATGAAAGTTAGCAATAGGACGATGTGTTTGAGCTGACATTTTTATCTTAACGAAAGTTGAGTTTTCACTAACAACTTCCAAGTATAATGCAACGTTAACTCTTGCTTAAAAATGCTTGAATAATAGCCTTATTTATATAGCAAGGGCTATCTGCATCAATAATTGATTTCTTTGTACTGTTAAAGGTTTATTCATTATTATTGTATCCATTCCTATTTCCATAGAGCAAAAGAAACCGGGTTAGCCTAAAGGGTGAGCCAAGTGGGAAAAAAAAAAAAAAAAAAAAAAAAAAAGCAAAACGATCAAATTCAAATTTAATATGACCCTCAAAGATAAATAATAGAGAAAAAACGAGTTTATCACTTTGATAAACAAAATAAAACTATATAAAAAAAAAATCATTATTTTTCTTATATAAATAAGAGCCCTAGTTGTTAAGATAATTACGAACATGTTATGTTGACTGGACATCTGTACCTAATATATAAAAACTCAAACCACAAGCATCAAGTGTCATACCTTTTTTAATTTTTTTTGTTTATTTAAATATAAAGTATGGTTTTATTGCCTATTCAATGACCTTGATCTATGTAATGCATGATGTTTCTTCTATATTCTTCACAATAGTTTTAATTAATATATCTCATTGTTATAATATTAATGTTCAACTTTCCACTCCCTAATTCTTTACTTTTTCTCATAAGAAATTATATAATAATTATTGAAAATAAATTAATGCAATAGGTTTTACTTTATACAATTCGTACATTGCCAAGGCCAAAAAGCTAATTTTAATTGATTTATTTACGCTTTTACTATTATTTGATAAACGAATTTTGTTCATTAACCGAATAAACTGGGACTCCTCTAAATAATCTACTACGTCTATACGAGTACCTACTACCCTTACTTTTTCCTCTTACCACTGTTTAAACTATTTTCTTTTTTTTTTTAAACAAACTGTTTAAATTATTTTGATAGATCGATTCGTTGCTTTTTTTAATAATGGCTTAGCTTTTCTTTAGTACGTGAACATCATAAGACTATGTTAAAATGAAAAAAAATAAAATTAAAAAAAATAAAAGTGTATTATGGTCATAGATTCTACTATAGTACACAAGGTGACAAGGTGGTAGTACAACTAAGCTAACAGCTTGTTCAGTACATCTTATTTTTTATTATCTAAACTTATATGATCTGGTTTGATTTAATATGATCTTATCTGATTTGATTTGATTGTATGATTTGACCAAACTTTGACATTAAGTGTATGATAATCTACAAAGATAAAATATTTTGCGTATCAATTAATGGGGTCTTGTTAGATTCTTAATGATTTGCATTTTATTAATATGTAATTTTGATAATTTTTTTATTACGAAATTAAAGATATTTAGCGATAAGAAGCTACACATAAAATTAAACGATGATCTTATTTGAACTTTTTTTTTTATCTGATCTGATTTGAACTTTTTTTTTCTGATCTGATTTGATCCGAACTTATTTGTTGTGAAATAAGTAAAAATAAGTTGAACTAAACAAGACCTAAGTCTTTTCTCTTATAATTTTGCTTTATTAATCCTTCACCTACAGAGTGTGCATGGTTGTTGAGTAAGCTAAGTGACCCGAAAGTCTTTAGTGATTTTTTTTAATTCTTCATTATAAATTATGTACTACTACCTCCGTTACATATTAGTTGTAACTTTTGCCAAATCGAGATGCTACACATTAGTTGCAACTTTCTATTTTTTTCCTATTCTAGTAAGTTTTTTTAAACGAAAGTACAAAAATACCTTTACTAAAGAACTCATAAACACAATTAACTACCTAAATCACATTTCATTAAATTCCTAATCTAACTTATTAACATAATATTTTCACCTAATTTAACTCACCTAAAACATGAATTAAATCAACAATTCAATTCCAAAAATCATTCAACTCAATCAACTCGCACGAAACTGTTAAAACACCACCTTCTCAACGTTGCCGCCGCATCTAACCACCACCGTCAACGTCACCACTGCATCTACCACCACCGTCAACAACGTCACTGCTCATCACCATATTCAAAGTCGTCGCCTCCTCCAGTGTTCCTTTCTCACTATCTTTTCTCTCTTTTTTTTAAAAAAAAAAAATCGTTTAGATTCGATGGTTTAGGGGTGAGTGGGCTAGTTAGGGGTGGTTTAAGGATGGTTTGGGGTGGTTTCGGTGTGGTTCAAGGTGAGTAAGGGTAGTTTTGGGTTGGTTTAGGGTGAGTGAGGGTGGTTTTGGGGCTAAGTGAAGGTGGTTGTTTTGTGGTGGTTTATAGCGAGTGTTAGTGGTTTTGGGGTGGTTCGGCTGAGAGGGGTTGGTTTTGGTGTGGTTCGAGTTGAGAGGGGATGGTTTCGGTGTCGTTTACGTTGAAATGGGGTGGTTTTGGGGTTGTTCGGGCTAAGATCTGGTGGTTTTAGGGTTGTTCAGGGTGCGTGTGGGTGGTTTCTGGGTGGTTCGGACGTAGAGGGGGTGTTTCCAGCTGAGATGTGGTGATTTTGGGGTTGTTCGGGCTAAGATATGGTGGTTTTAGGGTTGTTCGGGGTGCATGTGCGTGGTTTCTAGGTGGTTCGGGCGGAGAGAGGGTGGTTTCGGGCTGAGATATGGTAATTTTGGGGTTGTTCGGGCTATGATCTATTAGTTTTAGAGTTGTTTAGGGTGCGTGTGGGTGGTTCCTGGGTGGTTCGGGCTGAGATGTGGTGATTTTGGGGTTGTTCAGGCTAAGATATGGTGGTTTTAGAGTTGTTCAAAGTGCGTGTGGGTGGTTTCTGGGTGGTTCAGGCTGAGAGGGGTTGGTTTCAGGCTGTCAGGTGGGTGGTTTCGTGGTGGCTGCGATTGGGCGATGGTTGCGGTGTGACTGTTGTTGGTGGTGGTCAATTTATTAATTACCTTCACTTTCTCTCTCCTACCCTTAATTTACTATTCTTTAATTCATTAATAAACCATTATGAAATTTTGTCTTAAAATCCGTGTCGAGCTCAAAGTTGCAACTAACTTGAAAATGGAGGTAGTACATTTTTTTCAAGTTAGCCCTAGTCTTTTCACTTTAGAACACAAATATTAAGGTCTTGTTCTCTTTATATTATTTTACTAAACTAAAATTATTTTTATGAAATTGAAACTATTTTTGCTGAATTAAAATTATTTTTACTAATATGAAATTATTGCTATTAAATTTTTTTTTACAAATTAAAAATTTATATATATATATATATATATATATATATATATATATATTATATTTGTTCTATAAAGTTATTGATTTTTACTAAACAAAAATTATTCTTACTGAAGTGAATTTTTTTTATTTTTTTTAACGAAATTGGAGTTTCTAGTAATAATAAATTTTAACCAGTAATAATAATTTATATTCTGTAAAATTAATTTTAGTTTAACAAAATTGATTTCATTTTAGCAAAAATAGTTTCAATTCAACAAAAATAAGGTGAAGAGAACAGAGCCTAAGTGTGAAGTAATTTATGGAAAAATCAATTTTAATCAGTTAAATAATTTAAAAGCCATAATAACAGTATAAAGTCATATTCACTTCACCTTATTATTTATTCTAGCGATATATGTTTCTAATTCTCTATATATGTATTTAATGCATGTTTAAATTTTAGAATGCTTGTAACTAATATTTAATTTATAAATTCCTATTCAGTATTATAGAACGGTAATCTGACCTTTTTTAGGAGGAGAAGAAGAAGGAAAAAAAAAAACCTACCCTAACTTATTGGTAAATAAACAATCTAGGCTTATATCACATAATAATAATAATAATAATAATAATAATAATAATAATAATAATAATAATAATAATAATAATATATCAAGTATTTTTGTATATATAAATTAGATGAAATTCCGTGCGATACACGAATTTTTAATACATATTAAGTCTAAAAAAATACTCCGTATATTTCTTAGTTAGATTCTAAGATTTTTTTTTTTTTGATTCATTTTATTATTTAACAAGTTTAGATAAAAAAAATAATTAAATTGCTATTGCCTATTCAAAAAGTCTAATTTGAATTTTATTTAAATGTAATTTATGATGCAACCTTATTCATTAACGTTAATTACGTGTTATTTTACTAAAAATAAATTAAATTTTGATATTAAATATGTTATGTCATTTGAAGGATCAAAATTTTTTATTTTTTTTTAAATAATTTAAATCCTAAATTATTATTCGGCGTTTTTTACATTTAAAATTAAATTCTCAAATCTCATTCGTTAATTTTGGGCGATTGTATTTTTTTAATTCTAAGATAAAATACAAAACTATTTTATCATCATTGGTTAAAATAAGCCCTTGCTTATACGTTTAATTTTAATAAAATATAATAATAATGTCAATTATTAATGATAAAGATTAGTTTTTTAACTACAATGTTTTTTTAGATTAATTTCATTCAAGGTAATATTTTTAAAGTCATAATCCTTTGTGGCACTTTTTTTAAATTATAATCTTACGTGGCGCTACCTGACACTTTTTAAGAAAAAACATATTCTTACGTGGCGCTCTAATTTTTTTTTTTTAAACTAAAATATTACGCGATGCTCTAAAATCTTGGAAAAAATCTCCCCTTTGTCATGAAATTAAAGTTTGTTACATAAATCTATAGCAATTCACTGGTATAATTTTTTTGTCATGAAATCAAAGTTTTATCAATCTTGTAAAAATCGAGCATGGTATCGAATATCCCTACACCCTCGATTTTTAAAGGAATATTATGATATAAATGCTTCGATTTCACCTTTTACACTATTTATCTAATCTTGTATAACGAATATTAGAAATTTATACATAAGTAAAAATAAAAAATGTCATTCGCCTATTTGTTAGGATGTATGTCCCAGTATATAATTTATTAATATTGACATTTACAATTTATATTTATTATAATTAAAGCTTTTATCGATCAAAATTTTTCATTGATAAATGTACCTAGCCAAACTGAAACATTTTTTTAGAAACTGGGAAAATATCATTATATTATTAGGTTAGTATCGTAAAAAGTGTGGCAATTAAATTGAGAAAAATATAATTAAAAAGTGTGACCATAATATTTGGATGAAGAGAGTACTAAGATAGAATTAAAAAGAATATGTAATCATCTAGAACCTCCATTTAACCAATACAAATCAAATATTTGTAATCGTAACTTAAAAGTACCAACCGACGACAACAAAATAACAAAAATAATGACACGAACTCATGATTCATGTGATTAAACATTTTTAAATATATAAATAAATAGACAAAGTATATATATATATATATATATATATATATATATATATATATATATATATATATATATATATATATAATGCCACGACATAAAGTGTTATTTTTTTTTTTTAAAATGCTTCCCTTATTTCAAGACGTATTCGTGTAATGTGATTACTTTACATTACATTACATTACAAATTTAACTAATTAAGTCGTTAATCATGATTACATTACACTACAATTGATAATCTTTAGTCAAAAAAATGAAGTCATGAATCACGTGATTACATTACATATCATTATAAATATGATTCATATTTATAATTTCACATAATAGGTAATGCTATATGCAGCCCTTCATATAAGTATTAAATACATTTTCTAAAATTGTGCAATTTAAGAATTTATGACAAAAACACTTGAAGATCAATGTAATTAATGATAATATTTTCTAAAAACATGGTAAATCAATGTATTAATTCTAAAAAAGTAAAGATATTTTTTTAAACAAAGATATTGCTAACAAGCGCCCCGGAGTGTTAAATAAGTAATTAATATATTATTTAAAATAGTATTAAGTTCGGAATGCATAACAAAATCATGCGTCGATCGTTGTAATAAATGTTAATTTTACTATAATATTTTTTACATTTAGTTTTCTTATATCTAACGCCTCGAGGGCGCTCGTTAGTTTTTGCCTTAAAATAATACTCCGTATTAATTTCACTGCTCTACGTGTGTTTTTGTCATGAATTCCTAAATTTACACCATTTTAGGAAGTGTAATTAATGGTTATTAGCTTAGGCCTCGTGGCATGCACGTTAGTCTAATTTTTTTTTAAAAATAATTAATTATGTCTAACAAATAGAATTTGATAAATTAAAACATACACATCAAATATATAGAAATTATATTGTCATAATCTATATTAAAAGGCAAAGCAAAATTTCAATATATAATCTCATGTTTTAGATAAAAAATAAATAAAATAAAAACGTTCAGCAATTTGAACTTCTTTAGAGCATGCACATTAATGAGGAAATTTTTGAGAAAATCTAAAAAAAAATTCTCCTTTTTTATCTTTACTTTTCCAATAACAATAACAATAAAAATAATAATAATAATAATAATAACAAAAACAATAACAACCATAAGTCAATAACAATAATAACAAGAACAAGAACAACAATAACAATAACAATTCCAATAAATATAACAATAATAACAATAACAATAATATAATATGAATTGAATGTGGAGAGGTTAGTGTCATAGGCCAAACTCACTTGCCCATTAATCAAATAAACTTTAATTTATTTATAAACACCTTAAAATCTAGCTATTGATGCCAATTGTTACGGGAAAGCCATGTTAAGTTGTATTTAATTTATACAAAATAATAATCAACGAATAAATAAACATTGATAAATCAATAAAGAAGAACAAAACACACAAGTATTCACGAGGTTCGACCAACTAGACCTACTTGGGGAGTTTTAAGAACTTTTTTTCACTATAATGGAGAAAAAATAGAGGTACATACGCAGAATTTTCTAATGGCTTAGTAGCTTAATTAACCAAAACTTCAATGGTTCCTTTAATAGCATAAAGAAACCCTCATAAACCCTTTAATTACTCCCTAATTAGTATGCTAATAGTCATCATGACCAAATCATGTCATATAAAAGCATCAAACGACAGAAAACTAAACACAAGGCTTAGGTGGCATTGGGAAGAAAGCTAAGGCCATTATTGTGTGGCCGGGCCGTGCGAAATCTTATGTTACTCAAATTCACTAATCTTTTTTGTGACACGGTCACACTTGAAGAGCCAAGCGCAAACAAGTTATCTTTTAAATGAATATGAATAACTTATACATAACACTACTATTAATTATATATACTTCCACTGTCCCACAATTCCACCAACTATATATATAATTTGTACGGAGTATTATAAAATTCTCAGTTTTGCTTAGTCCTCACTCAATATGTTTTCTTAAATTATGTGTCAAGCCAAGTGTTGTATCATTAATCTAAAAAAGAGGCAATATAATGTTGTTTTTGTTCAAAATTGAGTTATAATTATTTGAAAATTAAACAATTTAAAAGCACAGAGTTTCATACTGTCATGCACATACAAGAATAGTAAATATATATGAAGTATTAGGTTGATACATTTAATTAGTATATAAGTGGAAGGTTTGAGCATCAGAGTTGCTCTATGTATCGATCATAGCAAATGATAAATCAACTCATGAATAAAAACTTTCATAATTCAATGGAATGTCCCTCCTCAAATGATAAATTGTTGAAAATAATATGAATGTGGGTACGTGTCATTTTACCCCATAGCTTATATTAAGATGATTCTAATTGAATTTTATATACCTATATTTTTTCTTAATCAAAATTTACAAAGGATGAAATTTATTTTTTTGAGTATTACAGAAATCTTAATGGGGCCATTAATTAAGAACGGGTAAAGTCTAAAACAAATGCTTTTTCCCTTCTTCCACCAGCTACTGCTAATTTAATAAAACTGTACCAACTACCAACTACTTCAATACTTATTGGTTATTGGCAGGAACATAATCTTCTCTTTAAGATCCTCAATAATATTATAGTCTTTAACTCCCTGATTAGAAAGAGAAGCAGACGTGGAGTGGGCTTTTCTGCCTTGTGCCAGTAGATAAATAGGATAGTCATGACCATGCATGGGCCCATAGTCATGAAATAAAGGTATGTTTAGAAATAGTCTTCTATTATCTCTGGATCATAATATCAAACACATATTTCTTTCGTTTTTATTTACTCGCAACACATCATTTTGACACGTACTTTAATGAAGGTATTAGACAAGGTAAACAGGAATATTAATTGACAAAATTTTACCGCCGATAAGAAAAAATTGATAAGTTATTACGGTTTAAATTTATAACTTAATACGTCCGTTTACCTAGCTTAATCACTTCCTCAAATGGTGTGCTAAAAAGGTGAGTTGCAAGAATTAAAGCTAGAAAGAGTTTTATTTATTGAGGGTGACAACTTAACAATTATTAATATATGTGTTTCAGGGGTTTTGCATAATGTTCTTGGAAGGTTGATCTGCTCACGCACGACATTATAGAGTCTCTTTTAGCTCGACACCTTCCAGTCCAATATGTCTTCAGAGAAGCACACATATCTGTATAATATAATATACCCCTTGCTAGGCCACTTAATAGATACACACCCAGATTTAGATCCTTTAGATCGTAAAATCTCTTAATTTCTTTTTTATTCAATCATTAGATTACAATCTTGAGAGACGAAGGATGTAACTTGTATCATTATTTTATTTTTTTTTTGAAATAATAGTATACGACACGTGTTTCGGGGTATTTTAAACCCCGGTTGTTGACATAGGAGCTTGTAGGACGATATTTATACCCCCATTTTATAGACGAATGGCGAGTTTACAAATAGACATGTTGGAAGTTGACACGTGGCATCCATACCCAGCCATAAAAGACCAACCTGAGCATGTCATGTGGCATAAAGATAGGCATCAAATAGGAAGGCTCAAAAATCCATGAAAGCAAGACAATCTTGTATCAATGATGCAACCCAAGACATGTTTCAACCACGTGTAGGGCATATCTAGGTTGTGAAATCCTAAGAGCATGTCACCTACAATCCTACAAATAACCCAAATATTTTTTACGATGGGGCAAGACATTCATTCATAACTATCCAAGGAAGAATGCCCAAAAATGCTCTCACTTCTCTCTACCTCTCTCTAGAAATTCCATTCTCAATCACTAACTTAATCATTCGAGGCGAATATCTGAGAAACCACAGATTCGTTGTTTTTGCAAGTATTCAGGTCATACGAGTGCTGCATTTTGGACCTGTCTCTCTAAGGAATACAAAATATACCCCCAAGGGGAATGTCTAAAATATCCAATCCAAAACCACATGCATAATAGAATTCAAAATGTAATAGATATATTGCCTTCATACCTGAAAATTTGACTTAAATTTCATTTTTGGGTAAAATGTTCAACTTTTATTTTTTTCCACTTTTGACAAATCTTTTAATTACTATATATCTTACCCATATTACTCGGTCAATACTTTTTACATCTTTTTGCTCATTCTCTCTTACCTTATCTACCTTCTTATTACACTGACTCCCACTCTCTACTTTATCTTTCTCTTACCCTATCTACCATTTTTTTTTTCTTTTTGAAAAATGAGAGTCTACTCTAAGTAAGGCAAACTTTTGAAATTGGAAGAAATATGTTAAATAATTCGATCGCTTAAAATCAGTGTGGATATTTAACTAATTTTAATTTTTCAAATGATTTATATTGTGCTTCTCACACAATTTCATTATTGACAAAAAGCATGCAATCGAACTGTAAAATAGACAAGTATTCCATTCTTATTGATGAAAATTCAAAGTTTTAATTTATTCATAAGATAAAGTACATTTAATTAACCAGACAATAATATGCGATTGTTGTTATGTAAACAAAAACTCGCATTAGTCCGCAACCACAAAAACATGACAACAAATACACACATTGCGCGAAATTAAAATAAAAGAAAGTAAGATTATTACTACATGCCTACATGGTAATAGGATGAACAAGAACAGATGCAGTTTTCTCCTTCAAAGTCTGGTTAACTTCAGTATAACCATCTGTACCATCCTTGTAAATAACTTCAGCCGAACGAGCTAAGTTGAGAATTCGAGTAAGTAAAGGCTTCGAAATCACATGAGGTTGTAGCATTGCTTCATTAATATCTTTCCAAGCATCCTCAACTTCTTCTCTTAGCTTCTCATTTGCTTCATCCTCTGACATTCCATGCTTCTCCATCAAGCATTGCACAGCTGACGCGACATGATTTCTTTTTTGCTCAAACTGCCATAAAACCACATAATAAGTACGTTATTTTTTTTTTTTTTTGGCACAATTGTCGTGTCACTTACCTCTTTCTTATTTTATCCTTACACTTTGTTTTCATATTTTATTACTTTTTGTTACATCACCCATCTTTTTACACACTTTCTCAATTTAGTTTGTTTTTGTGCAAATTAAACAATAAATGTTAAAAACATAGGACTCCATATTAAACATAGGTCGTGATATATGTAGAGAGTACCTTATGGCCACCTATGTCGTCCACGAGTCTAAGTATTGTGGACGCAGCTTTGACAGCTTTAGGGATAGGAATTTGGCTTGCCCATTCAAAAACCTCCTTCGTCGCTATCTCTCCCATGCCAAGGAAAGAAGCAATTATGCCATGAGGATAGGGAGAGGTAACTAGGGCAATTTTCATATACTCGTCATACGTGGGTACATATTTTTCATGGCACCATTTTGCTTCTTGCAAGAAAGCTAGGCACAAAGCTTTTACCTACGCATAAAATGTAGAAATAAATAAATAAATAAATAAAACGAGAATACACGAGAAAGGAAGTTAAAAATGAATCAAACTCAAAACAATAACATATGAATCGGATAGTTTCTATATGAGACTCAAATGAATAAAATTCCTTTTTTGTTTATAATTAATAGGCACATAAAATAACATTAGCTTATGACAATTAAATCATAAACGAAGGGACTATTTAGCTATATAAGAGGTATTTACACATATTGATCGTCTTAATCGATATATAGATCAAACCATGTAATTAAAACGACTACTCGTAGTACATAGGAAATTTTGGACATGTTAAATCCTATTGATACTTACCTGTTCTCTTGTATAGTTTACGCAAAATGATCTTCCTTCTTTGGCAAGATCTTCCTCGGCTTCCTCACATGCTTCAACATTAGCATGATAACTCCATTTCACGTGCTCCGGAAGTTCATCCACATAACTTTTGTTCCAAGGCCTGAATTTCAATTTATTACAACATCTTAATAGTCATTCCAACCAATTCAAAACTCATTAAAATAAATAAAACTTGGTTTATATACTCCACAATTCATATTAGTAATTCAAACATAAAATTTTACCTTTAAAAAAAGTCAAAGTTGGTAATTAAGTGTTTATCATTTAAATTGACTTGACTTAAATAGGGAAATTTATCTTGAGATAGACAAAAGCAACACTATATATATATATATATATATATATATATATATTGATAAAAATATAAATTTCAAACCTTTGAAATGTTTCAGTGAGAAGTTCAAGTTCTTCAATAGTTCCATATGCATCATAAGTATCGTCCAATAGTGATGTTGCCTTGAAAATTTTCCCAAACACTTTTCTTGCCAAGGAATATTTGGGTTCGTAGTAAGCTCCCAATATCCAAAAATACGCCTCCGTCAACCTGTCTCGAGTATATGATGCGTTCAAATGTAGTCCTTTCCACCACCTACGTCAATTAAACATCATGATCAAGTTATACTTTATGAGTACGTACTTTTTAAGATCTATAAGTTGGAAAATTTCTATATTGTTAGACAAAATTGAATTGCATTCATATGATTACGTACTTTTTAAGATCTTTAAGCTCCTTCTGGTGTAAGGCTTGAAGCAAATTGAAATCGAGTTTTGCAAACTTGAGGAGAGTTTTGTTATGTGAAGGATCCATTTCATACACCGTGATGTAATGCCTAGACTCTACTCGCGGCATGCCCTTGTGGAGAGGTTGGTGAAGAGCATGGGCAACTTGATCAGCAAGAGGTGAGCTTAACTGGCTAACCATGGCGTTGAGACGTGTTGTCGAAAATGCAAGGGCTTCGTCGAGTATCTTGTCATCGTGAACTCGAACATGGGAAGCCTCATACAAGCTTAACAATCCTAGAACATCCTTAGTAATTGATTCCTTAAAGCTTCCATTTTCCTCCTTGAACTTATTAAACACATCTGTGCCATCATTTTTATAATAACTCACATTATTAATTAATATATAATCCAAAAAATAAATAGCTTTAGGAAGCCAAGACTTTTAATGGCTAGAAATAAATTGTTTTCGATCAATTTATTGGCGATCCATTCACATATTGAATTTTGAATATAAATTATACTTCGTAATTAATTAAAACAATACATAAATTTTAAAAACTAAAGTTTTGTTTTCTCCATTAATTTGGAAAGAAGGAAAAAAAAAATGTTTGTCGCCATACATTGATGCAATTTAAAGTTTCTACTTTCAAGATTCAACCTTCAAAATAAAGCTAGATTAAATATGTATGGATCGGAATAACAATACTTTAAATATCCCGTCAAAAAAAAAAGAAAAAAAAAAAAAAAAAAAAAAAAAAAAAAAAACCTTCAAATATTTATGAAGTTTCCATTTTCATCTTTGAATTTATTAAACACATCTGTGCCAGCATTATAATAATTACTAGCTTTATTTAAATATAAAAAAAATCTCAAATAAATTTCTGCCATTTCAAAATGATGAGTCATTTTCTATTATAGTCCTACTATACACTAGCTTCATCAGCTAATTATAGCTAACTTTTCATACTGCTTACACATACATACAATTGTGTAGTAATTAAACGGGATTTGAATAATTCGCAGGAACAATAATTCAATCACTCTATGCCTAATTTTGTCTCTTAGCTTTGTCCTTGATGATGCAATTATCTCTTAATTAAAAAAGTGTTTTTAATTGAGTTACAACCCTAATTTTGGTTTTTTGTACGTAAATAAAAGAAGTTATATTAGACCAGAATCTTACACAGGTCAACCCTACTCAAATTAGTAGATAAGACCTCTTGGGAATAAGGGCCGAGTAAACAGTAAGAGAATCTTTAACCTCAAATTGCCTGTTGTGCGACAGCGGAAGCAAAGGTCGAAAACAAACAAGAAAACAATAAAGAAATTCAATGCAAACAATAAGAACAACACCAAGAATTTACGTGGTTCACTATCGATGTGATAGCTACGTCCACGGGCACCGAGATCGAATGATTTCACTATAAACTGCAAAGATTACAAAGATGATTCTTGTATTTCTCAAGAACGGCTCTCACTCTCTCTCTCTTAACCCTTATACTAATATTAGGGAGGTTTTATATTAATTCCTAAAATAAAAGATACTTGGGCAAAAAGATAACATAAAAGATAACTTTAAATCGTAAAATCCGCGTCTCCGCATTTTTCCTTCTCCGCCCGGTCAGACCGGGCAAGGTCTGCCCGATCGGGCGCGAGAAGAAAACTCCATACGAATGCTTCAACGTATCCAACCCCCACCGCCCGGTCAGACCGGGCAATGTCCGCCCGATCGGGCGGACAAAGCTACGAAGTACGAGTCACCTAATACTTATCAACAATCTCCACCTTGACGAGAACTCGTAGTCAGCAAACGACCCCATCAAGACATAGTGGAAAAACATCTCAAGCCAAACCCGATGCAAGACTCATGCATAAGCCATACATCCCGATAAGTCTTCAACCAAGACCCATCACATACTCGTCTCCAAGTATAACAACTCATAATGCTCCACCTGCATCACAAGCCCCGGGCAAGCTCCACCTTAAGGCCAACACACCTACACCAGGAGCTCCCCAACTTCGCCCCTCAGGGCCTACTACATCACGTAGTAATCAATATTTAGCAAGTCTAAGCAATGTTTAAACTTGCTAAACGGAACAGGCTTAGTGAAGAAATCAGCCGGGTTGTCAGCAGTCCCAATCTTCTTCACCTTAATCCTCTTGTCAGTACGCAAGAAATGATACCTGACATCAATGTGCTTCGTCCGATCATGGTGTACTTGATCTTTAGCTAAGCAAATCGCACTTAGACTATCACAATACACTGTAGCAAAATCCTGTGCAATACCCAGTTCACCTACTAGGCCTTTGAGCCAAATAGACTCCTTAGCTGCAGAAGTTAAAGCCATATACTCAGCTTCAGTAGTTGACAATGTAACTGATGACTGCAATGTAGACTTCCAACTAACCACAGAACCACCCAAAGTGAACACATAACCAGTCACAGACCTCCTGGTATCCACATCAGCTGCATAATCAGAATCACTGTACCCAGTGACCAAGCATTCCCTACCATTCCCGTACACAAGACCAATATCAGTTGTCCCTCTCAGGTAGCGAAAAATCCTTTTCACCCCTTGCCAGTGTTCCCTCCCAGGTCGAGCCATAAACCTGCTTACAACACTAACAGCATGCGCAATATCCGGCCTAGTACAGACCATAGCATACATCAAACAACCAACCGCGTTTGCATATGGAACTCTAGACATATAAGACAACTCCTCCTCTGATTGAGGTGACATAGACAAAGACAACTTACAACTAACAGTAGTTGGCGTACTTATAGGCTTCGATTTTTCCATCCCAAAACGAGACAAAATCTTTTCAATGTAGCTTTTCTGAGTCAAGAAAAGCTTACCTCTAGCCCGATCCCTGTAGATCTCCATACCCAAAATCTTCCTAGCTGCACCCAAGTCTTTCATGTCAAACTCCGAGTTAAGCATCTCCTTTAATCTAGCAATATCAGATTTATTCTTTGTGGCAACCAACATGTCATCAACATATAACAAAAGATAAATCATGGAACCATTATCCAGCTTACTATGATACACACAGCAATCATATGAATTCCTGTCAAAACCTTGTGAAACCATAAAAGAATCAAACCTTTTGTACCACTGTCGGGGGGATTGCTTAAGTCCATACAATGACTTTAGCAATCTGCAGGCATAGTGTTCCTTTCCAGGAACTTCGAATCCTTCGGGCTGCTTCATCAGAATCTCCTCCTCCAAATCGCCATGAAGGAAAGCCGTTTTAACATCCAACTGCTCCAGCTCAAGATCAAAATGTGCTACAATTGACAATAACACACGGATAGAAGTATGTCGAACCACAGGTGAGAATATCTCAACAAAATCAACCCCTTCTACCTGACTGAACCCCTTAGCAACTAGCCTAGCCTTAAAACGTATTTGCTCAGTTTCCGACAACCCTTCTTTCTTCTTGTAAATCCATTTACAACCCACAAGCTTCCTCCCTTCCGGTACCTTTACCAGTTCCCACACTCTGTTCTTGTAAAGAGACTGCATCTCTTCACCCATTGCGGCAAGCCATTGCGCAGACTCACTACAACTAATTGCTTGTTTATATGTGGCAGGTTCAAATGACTCTACATCATCAGCTACACTCAATGCATAACCTGTCATCGCATCAACACAGCAATTTCTTCCCTCCATCTCTTCAATCAATCTAACAGGCTTCTTGATAACTCGTTTAGGCATCTCAAGAATGGTGTCAGGTTGACTAGATGACCCCTGATTAGATTGCTCCACCTCATCCCCAGAGTTAGAATGAGTAGGAGTAATCTCAGGTTCAGGAGTACCCGGCACTGGAACATCAGCATCATCATCAATATATTGTACCCGAGGTAAATCAGCAATGGTAGACTGATGTACCTCAAGTACCCCATCTGTCTGTAATAAATTGTCTCCTTCCCTTCTCAAATCTGAAATCTCTGCATTTTTAATTGAATACATGGTGTTTTCATCGAAAGTAACATCCCTACTAAGAATGACCCGACCCTCCGAAGGTGAAAAAATTCTAAACCCCTTCACACCATCCCCGTACCCAACAAAACACCCCTTCTTGGCTCGTGGATCCAGCTTACCCTCAATAACATGATAATAAGCAACACAACCAAAAATCTTCAAATTCGAAAAATTAGGCAACTTACCACTCCAGATCTCAAACGGAATTTTGGAATCAATTCCAGAATGAGGACCCCTATTAATGACATAACAAGCTGTTAACACAGCTTCACTCCAGTACCTCCTCCCAAGCCCTGCATTAGAGAGCATGCATCGAACTCTCTCTAGCAGTGTCTGATTAACCCGTTCTGCTACACCGTTCTGCTGTGGTGTCTTCCTGACAGTATGATGCCGACCTATACCCTCATCTGCACAGAACTGATTAAACTCGTCTTTGCAAAACTCTAGCCCATTGTCCGTTCGTAGCTTCTTGATCTTCCTTCCTTGTCGATTTTCCACCAAAGCTTTCCATTGCTTGAAAACTTTGAAGGCCTCATCCTTTGACTTAAGCAACCTAAGCCATGTGTATCGGGACTTGTCATCAACAAATGACACAAAATAGTGGTAACCTCCCATACCTTCAACTCTAGATGGACCCCAGCAATCTGAATGGATGTAATCGAGCACTGCATCAGTAATGTGAGCACCCTTGCTGAACTTTGACCTGTGTTTCTTACCAAACACACAATGCTCACAAAATTCAAGGTTGGCAACCTTGACCCCGGATAGAAGACCCCTCTTGGACAATAGCTGCATCCCCTTCTCCCCCATATGACCAAGCCTCATGTGCCAAATCTTAGTCATCTCCTGGTGAGATACAGATGCGCAAACCGCAGAACTAGGCAGTGTAACACCCTCAAAAACATAGAGGGTGTTCCTTTTGATACCCTTAAGTACCAACTCAGAACCTCTGAAAATACACAACTCCCCATCTGAAAACACACCATTGTACCCCAAGTCATCCAGGGTACCCAATGAAATCAGATTCTTTCCTAAAGCAGGAACATGCCGTACATTAGTCAAAGTTAACCTCCGCCCATCAACAGTCCTCAACCTCATGGAACCAATACCTGTGACCTTACATGGAGCATTGTTACCGACTATAACCATACCCCCATTGCGAGGTTCATATGTATCAAACCAATCTCGACGTGGACACATATGGAACGAACACCCCGAATCTAGAACCCAGTTATCAGATAAATCATCAGACCTAGCAGAACTGACTAATGCTAAATCTTCCTCTGAATTATAGCTCTCATTCGGTTTCTCTTCAACTACAGCAGCCTGGGACTTGTTTTTCCTCACCGGACAATTATTCCTAAAGTGACCCGGTTCTTTACAGTAATAACATGTTTTAGTAGTAGTTTTACTAGATCCATCCTTGCCGTTTCCAGCACCCGACCCAGCATTGTTCCCCTTGTTAAACCCCTTATTCTTTTTAGACTTTCCGGACTTAACAAACAACCCACTACCATTATCCCCATTATCACTCGTAGCTTTCATTCTGAGTTCCCTAGTATGAAGTGCTGCCTTCACTTCTTCTAAGGTTATAGAATCCTTACCAACAACAAAAGACTCTACAAAATTCTCAAAGCTAGACGGTAGAGATACAAGTAAAATCAACGCAGCATCCTCATCATCAATTTTAACATCTAAATTACGTAAATCAAGCAAAATAGAGTTAAGTTTTTCTAGATGTTCCCGTAAGGAAGTACCTGACTGCATCCGGAGGCTAAACAACCGCTGTTTCAGTAATAATTTGTTGGTCAACGACTTAGTCATATACAATGACTCCAGCTTCAGCCACAATCCAGCCGCCGTTTCCTGATCAGCCACCTCCGTGATGATTTGATCATCAAGACTAAGTAATATGGTAGAGTGTGCCTTCTCTTCCATAACTTCTAACTGCGGGTCAGTCGGTCCATCTTCTGACTCCGAAGTAGTACTCTTTGGAGCCAACGGACGCCATATCTGCTGTTGTTTTAACAGAGCCTTCATCTTAATTTGCCATAGCCCGAAACTATTTTTCCCGGTAAACTTCTCAATTCTTATTGTTGAATCTCCTGCCATTGTTATCTTCAAGAAACTCTCCAAGGATTGAACCTGAGCTCTTGATACCAATTGTTGTGCGACAGCGGAAGCAAAGGTCGAAAACAAACAAGAAAACAATAAAGAAATTCAATGCAAACAATAAGAACAACACCAAGAATTTACGTGGTTCACTATCGATGTGATAGCTACGTCCACGGGCACCGAGATCGAATGATTTCACTATAAACTGCAAAGATTACAAAGATGATTCTTGTATTTCTCAAGAACGGCTCTCACTCTCTCTCTCTTAACCCTTATACTAATATTAGGGAGGTTTTATATTAATTCCTAAAATAAAAGATACTTGGGCAAAAAGATAACATAAAAGATAACTTTAAATCGTAAAATCCGCGTCTCCGCATTTTTCCTTCTCCGCCCGGTCAGACCGGGCAAGGTCTGCCCGATCGGGCGCGAGAAGAAAACTCCATACGAATGCTTCAACGTATCCAACCCCCACCGCCCGGTCAGACCGGGCAATGTCCGCCCGATCGGGCGGACAAAGCTACGAAGTACGAGTCACCTAATACTTATCAACATTGCCTCTAATCGAAATTGATCACACAACCTTCTATTGCTTGTTCATAGTTTTAATCATTATTTACAATTCAAAGTACTACAGGTGTAATCACATTTGATCCTTCGATCTTTGGACTTTGGTATTGGTAATTATTTAGTACTCCATACGAATTACTCCATATTATTTTCGTTCCTTGATATTGTCGAATTATCGATGGTGTATCGTTAACTTTCACCATTAATGTAATTATAAGTACATGATAAGTCCTGGTTATATATATTGCGCAAAAAACATCACAGTCATTAAGTCAAGACACCACGTTAAAATGCTTACCACAAGGAACAAAGAAACCATGTTGCCTGAGGATACGAAATCTAGTCGAAACATGGTAGAGATCATCTTTGGCACATTGCCCTTCATAGCTCTCGTAGATTTGTTTCAAAGCATCCTCAATCTCTTGTTCAAAGTGATATGCCAATCCAAGACGTTCAATGGCGTCGAAGAAATTCAGCAACTCAATTGGGTTGTTCTTAGTCTCCTGCAGCTCCTTCTTCACTTCCTCTATATATTGTTTCACTTCTTGCTCCTTCTGAACTTGGACTTCCTAATTCATTCATTGCAATATAACCAATAAAACAGTAAATAGATACATCTATACAAATACAGATATATGTCATCGAGCTAATTTAGTTGGTAAAATCTTAAAATATATGGAGTAAAATAATGATCAAGACTCAATCTTAAAAATAGTTACCTCGTCATGGTGCGGATTTGTGATATTGAGAAAGTGGTCACCCCAATGGCATAGGTGATAGTTAGCAATAGGACGAGATTTTTGGGATGACATTTTTTTTTTTTTTTTTTTGACGAAAATTGTTTGATTGTTTTCTAAACAACTTCCAAATGTAGTGTGACTGTGTGACGAAATGGCTTGATGAAACATTTCCATATTATATAGCATTGTGGTCAGCCAAATCATTAATTATTTTATTGAATTTTTATTTTTTTATTTTTTTTATTTTTGTTTTTGTTTAGAGAGCAACTATATATTTGCATAAGGGCGGATGATGAAAACCAATCACAAGATTCTCCTAATTCTCAACCAAACCATCAATTGATATATGCATATATCTTGATTTATTAATTGGGGGCTGTCCTAATTATTATGCCCATATCTTTATTTAATTTGGCTATTTATTAAAGAAATAATACATTACTCCGTAATATATTTTATTGGTAAGAATCATCTTTATTATTTGGGGCATGTCACTGCAGAAGGGGACATCCAAATATATAATGTACATCTTGACTTCTCGACAATGCCTTAATTAAATGCAACATGAGAGTAAGGGATCACTTAGATGATTACATTTTGCTTCCCGACTTCATAAGATTCTGGGATCGATTCTTATCACCCGCTTTTGTGCCTCTTTAAACACCAAAATAAATTGAATGCAATCTTGAAATAAGCAATTTTGACCTTACATCTACCCAACCCAATTTAAGGGAAACAGGCAAGTCGGCAACCAATTTAAAGAACTACCAAACCTTTCTGCTTTCATTTGTTTAAGCTCGGCTTATTATGGAATTAACAAACAAGAATGAGCTTGAACCGAGCTCGAACCCAAGTAATGTATTGACCGACTCTGTTAATTTACACCCTTATTTTTTTTTTCTTCTTTTTTTTTGCCTCAAAAAAAAAATTACTGATAGAGTATATAAACTAATTGTGCGATTCAACCATCAGCGTTCATTAAATCTAATAACATCATATTAGAGTCAATGTGACAAAAGGTCATGGATTCACATTTCGTCTACCCCTCCCTTTCAAGTGGAAATTATTTCGCGCTCTTTAACCATTATCTTTATATTTCTTTTTATTATATATCTTATTTATGGACCTTACTCATATTTTTTATTATTATTATAATTTCTCTCCTCGCACACCTGTTACTTTTAAGTTACTCTTGTTTTTCAAAGTATGTTACTTTTAAATTACTTATTATTTAATTCAACAATCACTTTCTTATAACTTTTAGCTCTTAAAAAATCACTAACTCTGTTGTACACCATATAATTCAATCTCCTAAATCTTTATGCTGGACAAAAAGTGATGCTCTTAATAAAATGGAGTGAGAAACTTTTTTTTTTTTTTTTTTTTTTGAATGGAGTGGGAAACTATATGAGCTAGCGTGCATCATTATCAATTTTTCTATGCAACATCAAATTTAATATTGCATATTAATTTTAATAACGGTAAATATTTGACATCTTAAATATATACGGTTGTAATAGAATATAGAATATTGTTACAATAATTTAATCTGATAATCAATTTCTTATTCATAATAGATACTATATGGGATACAGGAGTAGTTGTTGAAGATTGCTAATATCAATTTTGTATGGAGACTTTATCAAACTTATATGGTTTAACTTGTCATAATTTACCAAAACCCCACAAGATAGACAAGTTTCACAAAAAATTTGTAACTATATGGATTATTAATTGTTGAGGTTAGTTGAAGAACAAGACCTTTGTCAATATATAAATTTTATACTCGATACCATATTCTTGGAATTTATTATATACACCCGGGTGCACGTACACCCAAGGTTAGTTTTTGCTCTTTATTTGATGATTAAATAAAAAACAATCATCAAAGTGAGAACAAAATACTCATGGGTGTATGATGCACCCGTGTGTATATTACAATCTCTCCAATATTCTTGAAAGTTTGCTCGCCTCCTCTAGCTAGACTCTTGTTTTTAGAAATGTATGAAAAAAGAGAGTGGGTGTAATAAAGAAAAAAGTGAGTGAGTGCAATTCAAAAAAAAAAAAAAAGTAAAAGTAAGAAAAATGTATTCCTTCCATTTAAAAATAATTGACACGGTTGACTTTTTTTCACTATTCATATATTAACTTTGACCATCATTTTTTAGTGACGCATAATTAACAAACTTTATCATGAAATATGATGTTAAATTGGTATTAATATAAAGTTTCATAATTTCAACTTTAATAAATATTTAACTAATATTAATCATATGTATCTAATATGTCAAACTAATATATTGGCATGTGTGTCAAATTTAACTGTATCAATTATTCACGAACGGTAAAAGCAGTATAAATAAATAAATAAATAAATAAATAAATAAAGTGGATGGAGGTATACAAAAGGGTTTTTCGAAAAACAATAAAATAAAAATGAATCAAATTTTTAAAACACCTCAAAATGGAAAGCAAGTCAAATCATAGGAATTGTGTATATTAATATTATTTCTGAATGTATATTCTATCAAAAATTATACGAAGTATACTAAGGAGTTTCCTTGCTAGTTGCTTCTAGGTCCTACCTGTCGAATTAGTTATGACTTTGAGATCATCAGTATGAATTCAGTATTTACATTATGAATTCCCCTCATGAGAAGGGCTTTCCAATGTTTAATTTTTCTTATTATTAAAATAAATAATAAAAAAAAAATATGAATTCAGTATTATATTGCATAAAAAATCCTGCAATATTTACTAAAGAATAAAGATGCGTATCACATGAAATATTAAAAATTACTAATAACATGTGCAAGGTATAATGAGAATATATCGTGAGAGAATAATATAATAATATTCGATAGTCAAAGATATTATGTTAGAGTATCCTTAAACCTTAATGAAAATAACCAAAAAGCTAATCCTATTCAATTCAATGATCCCTTATGTCTCCATCTCCCCGCAAATAGCTCAAATTTTTTATTAAATTATACAAAGTAAGTATTATTAAATATTATAAATTAGATGGAAGTCCGTGCATCTATTCGATAGTCAAAGATATTATGTTAGAGTATCCTTAAACCTTAATGAAAATACCCAAAAAGCTAATCCTATTCAATTCAATGATCCCCTATGTCTCCATCTCCCCGCAAATAGCTCTAATCCTTTATTAAATTATACAAAGTATTATTAAATATTATAAACTAGATGAAAGTCCGTGCGATGCACGGTTTTTTCATGTAAGATTTTTAATTATTTGATTAATTGTTTTAATAATTTCAAAAAAAATTACAAAAGTTTAATATTTATTTATTTTTACTATAATTTATAATGAATTTACTAAATATAAATAAATTTTAAATATGATATTTTTTCCGTTATATAAAATCTTTAATGTGAAATGATAAATTTTAATAATTTAAATCCTAAATTATTATTCATTGTTTTACCATATTTTTTATTTCGATAGAATCACCAAGCTCGTCCTCAACCAACCTACTATTCAATGGATAAATTGAACCGGGAAATGTTAAACAAACTGAAATTGATATAAATTAAATCTTTACATTTATATAAAATGAATCAATATATTTACCAATAAATGAAAAATTGTTGCGATATAAAATTAAATCTATGCATTGGAATTTTTTCATCGTCTCCAAAAATAACCAAAGTCATCCATATATTAAGTATACAACATCTAATTGTATGCCATTACATAAACAAATAATCGTTAAGTAACCTAAATAAATAAAATATAACTAATAATTACAAATATAAATTCAAACATAAGATTTTAAAAATTACCCAGACATTGATGACCTAAAACTAACACAAAATTCGCTTGATGGGATTTTGTATTGATACGAAACTTTAATTGTGTCGTATGATGTGTTAGATCTGCATGTAAACAAACATTTAGTAAATAAAACATAAACATATAATCGTTGAGTATCCCAAATTAATACAATGTAAGTAATAATTAGAAATCTTAATTTAAACATAGGATTTTAAAAACTAAGCTAAAAATTAGCCGGCCATTGATGACCAAAAATTAACACAAAATTACTAACATAAAATTCGCTTGATAGGGTTTTTTATTGATACGAGATTTTGTTTGTGTCGTATGATGTGTCAATTTATAATGGTAGGTATCACAAATTTTAATTTAATTATAATTAACGAACAATTTGTATTTCTTATCATAAATACTATCAAAATTTATCTTATAATGATAGGTATCAATATTTATTATAAGCCTTATCATTTAAATATTACTAGATGGAAGCCCATGCGATGCAGGTTTTTTCATCAAAGATTTTTAATTATTTGATATATTGTATTTAATAATTTCAGAAAAAATTACAAAAGTTTAATTTTTTTTTACTATAATTTATAATGAATCTATTAAATACAAATAAAATCTTTACATTTATATAAAATAAATCAATATATTTACCAAGAAATGAAAAATTGTTGCAATATAAAATCAAATCTATCCATTGGAATTTTTTAATTGGTTGAAAACATACCTTTGCTTATGTGGCGCGCCCTTTAAAAATTCCTACTTTATATATATATATATATATATATATATATATATATATATATATATATATATATATATATTTTGCCACGTAGGTAAAAAATACAAATAATGATATATTAGATTAGATTTTTTTTTGAAGAATATTGATTTTTTTTTTAATTGAAGAATATTAGTTAATTATTAATAATTTATAATTCTTTTAAATTTTTTTTAAAAATAAATTGATTGAACGTTTTCTTAAAAACAAAATGAACATATTTTTCCTTTTTCAAATATTTAATTTTAAAGTGTTTGTATATAATAATTGTATAATTTATAGTTTTTTTTAAAATTTAAATCCTAATATCAAAAAATCATCTTTTAAAAAAGATAATTTTTAGTTTTAAAATAATTTAAATCTTAATAAATCATTATTTGTATTTTTTACCTACGTGGCAAAATTTTTAAATTTCATTCGTCACTTTTGCTTATGTGGCGAGTGAATTTTTTAATTCTAAAATAAAATACAAATCTAACTTTTAATTGGTCGAAATAATACCTTTGCTTATGTGGCGCGTCAAATACTCTTCAAAAATGCCTACTTTATTTATATATATATTAGATTTTAGTATATTTTTTTTGGGTTTCTTATACTCGTAGTATTGAATTAATAAATTTATCTTTTCCTATATTTTTACTTTATTTTTTTTCATTAAAATAATTTAATTCGTGGATTAGAATCTACGTGGCATTAAAATTTTAGATATATCAAATCTAATTCATTACTTTTATCTAGGTGGCTACATAATTTTTTAATTCAAAAATAAAATACAAATCTTTCTTCTTATTGGTTGAAATAAGTATATTTCTTACGTGGCGCTCCGAATGCTCTCCAAAAATGCCTATATATATATATATATAGAGAGAGAGAGAGAGAGAGAGAGCCATTTTAAAGATGAGAACCCATCTTACACCATCCGTTTTCATATTATGGATGGTTGAGATTGAATTTCAATTCAGATTGCTGACTTGTACATGTGGGC